TATCTATAACAGGGTACCGAGAACTGTCAACTTTACTAACTACATTCCTTCACATTTACAGCAAAGTATTCATCCTAGTGTTAGCTGACCTTGCAAGGAATTCACTTTATTGGAATGTATTTCTGAATAACAAGTTCAGAAAATTCACTAGTTCACTAAAGACACAAAACAACTGCCACTTTTACTTTAAACACTTTTTTATTATTTTGATAACATTTGTTACATTATTGATAAACAAAGTATCACGTTTTCAACAATTAATATTTTAAAGTACAATCCATTTCTGCAAGGTTGTGTCAATGACCAAAATACAACGTTGAGTCAACGTCACATTATGACGGTGTTTGACGTGGCTGGATCAACGTTGATTTTACGTTGAATTTAGGTAGATCAACGGCAATTCAACGTATCAACCTGTTTTCAACGTTGATCTAACGCGACTATGCCTGCTGGGTATGTCACGTAGCTTTTCATCAGGTAGCTAGCTACTTATTTTGAAGTTCAAGAACATATTTGTTATGGAGATATTTCAATGAAATAGGGAAATGTTGTTTTTAATGAATGGTGACACTTTCGTGACTCTGTGTCTTTCTTGCATTTGGCACACCCAATTAATTAAAATAAGAAGTCAAGGCGTCAAAACTGCCAGACACTGGCACCGACAGGAGTCAAATTAACCTTTTGATTGCTGCATATTAAAACGAAGTAGTTGTACTAGTACGATACTAATATAAATATCGATATATATCATTAAGTGGACTAACTGTTATTTATATTGGGTCAAAGCAGGCTAAAAGACATTCGGTCCTTAGTTTCTGATTGGACCCGTACGAAGGTGCAGAGCCGACATTGAGGGAGGGAGCAGCAACTGGACTGCTACGTGTCTGCTGACTGATTGCAGTAGATGTGATCCACAGACACAATGTGGTAGGTATATATAGCTTGTGGAGTATTAATTGTACATGTCTGCTGACTGATTGCAGTAGATGTGATCCACAGACACAATGTGGTAGGTGTATATAGCTTGTGGAGTATTAATTGTACATGTCTGCTGACTGATTGCAGTAGATGTGATCCACGGAAACAATGTGGTAGGTGTATATAGCTTGTGGAGTATTAATTGTACATGTCTGCTGACTGATTGCAGTAGATGTGATCCACGGAAACAATGTGGTAGGTGTTCCAGCTTCTGGTACAATGTGTTAGATGGTACTGTTTGTTCAAATAGCACAATTAATCAGATAAGATGGTTATTTAATTTTCAAGTATAATTTTAATGGCTGCTTTTAGAACTTTCGTTACAAAAATAGGCCAAAAATACGAAAATTCCCCATACTAGCAAAGACCTCCTCGCAACCCACCAATTATTATAGGTGCAGACTTGTCTGTAAACGATAACAGCTTATCCTGGATTAGTGCAGCATCACAGTCCTTGTTCTGTATTGTTTGAAGCATACAACAGCCACAAGTACATAATTTCAATTGTAGTTTTATTTCTTGGAAAATGTTAGTACAAAGCAATGCTGGTACTTTTTATTAAAATTTATTCATAAATTTCAAGCATGAACAATTTGAAATAAAGCATTATATTGATCAAAGAATGATTCAGTTTCAGTTTTATCTTCTCTTCAGTTTTACAGACATCTATACCTATATTTACTTAATTGTTGTTGAGTATATGCTTTCATTTTTCCTCTTAACTAAATTGGTCACAATGTATTTCCATATTTTTGAAAATTTTCTAAAATTCTACATAGCAATGAAATGTGCCACAAAAGGACAATAATTACAAACATCCTGTTCTGAAATCTTACATTTCATTTTTAATATTTTCCTGTGATAAATTTAATGCAGAATTTTCCATATAGCCGCTGTAATTAAAGACTGATTATATGCCAGAGATTTTCAATTTCATACTACATTGTATGGCACCCTTTATTTAGGAATATATTATCTCTTAATTTGTTCAAAACAAGTTCATATCTTATTTCTCTAGCAGTAATATATTTTCATTGTATCCCTTTGAAGGTCAATTCATACTTCTTGATTTGCCATTATCCTTAACTAACTGATTCGCGATAAAAAATTAACACTTCACATTTAATTAATGTAAGTCCATACGTCCCGCCACTTATTTACTTGATCCATAAGGTGAGGTGTAAGTCGCAGTGAAGGCGACGTGTAAGCTTTGATTTTCCACATAAACTACATATTTTAAACTACAGATATCTTGTGGTGTTTGCTTATTTGGTATGGATGGCAGTGTGATAGTTTGTGATAAGTTGGGAAACACCATTACTAAGTCAAAATAAGAGAAAAATATTGTTCTTTAAAAGTTAATTTGATTTTCAATTACCATTGTCAGGTAACTTAAGTTACCTTAGAACATGTTTATCTATCTATAACTAAATCAACAGCAATAACTTTAGGTAATTCACATTGACGTATTAAACTTTCTGTCAATTTTGTAGAACTGCACTCCCGGTGCAGTGCATTTTTCTGGCATTATATACTGACCGCCAATGAAAACGTTTCAGTAAAAATGGCTTATTTTTTGTAATTGTTTCCAAACTTTCCATCGTCATGAAACATTGCCTTCATTGGGTATGCGCGGCAGACAAGTGAATTATAGTAAAATACTGTCGTGATCTTGGAAATGTGATAAACGACATTTGTGGCATGGAAATAAGATTTTCAGTCACCCTAGTCTCAGAGATTTGCTGCACACGTCGAGGGATGAACACCATACAGTCACTGGGACAGAAGACAATAGACCTTCCAGGCAGAGATAGGATAACGTAACTACACCAAGATTTGTGCATCCGTCTATGACATTCTAGAGGTCGAATTAACCCAGCAAGTCACACCCCGGGGAAGGCGCTCAGTTTGCCCAACAGTCGAACCACCATAGTAAAACGACGCCTATATCAACATAACCTACATGCACAGAGGAAAAAATCTAACGTCCATCCGGCATCAATCCCTTACAATGGGTTTGGAAACCTTACATCATTACATTTATCAGGACTTGAAGACTTAATCTGTTCCTGGAATATCATTGAGTCGTTCCTTTGTTACCACACGGCACATGTCACAACAGCATATCTCAAGGCTCCGGCTGTGATTGCCTTTCAATGAGCATTATATTCTTTGTGTCCATCTGGACATTTCCCACGGACCATTTGGGCAGATAGCTCCTATCCACCTCTCATTAACAGACACCAGCTGGAACAGGTACTTCAGGAAGAATTGGACTGAATCCCAAAAGAAGTATGTTTTATAGCATGAGTCAATTACTTGGTGTGCCACATAGTGCATATATTCAATACTAAGTATAATTGGAGACAGTTATATTCGGTTTCACACACAGCAACACATTTGAATTAGTATCTCGCTTATGCAACTTTGGATATGAATTATGCAAAAAGACTCATTGGAACATGGACAGTCAGTAACATGCTGTGTAAATATAATGTTATGCTTAAAATGGCTATTTAATCAAAATTTGCTGAATTCAGCTTGCCAACTACTCCATGTCTTATAGAGACATCATTTTAATACTGTAACACCGGCAAAAAATAGCAGTATTTTTTTCTTCATTTTCTTTCGTAAATGGGGGATAATATTAATAACACGCTACAAAGGAATAGAAGAATCAAGTGGGATTCAACTTGCTGACAATTCTAACATTTTCATTTGAAAATCTGAGAAGCCAGTACCCCGTAGGCAATAATCGGCGACCGTCTCGGTCTCAGCGCACGTCGAGGAGAGACCGTAAAAGCCTGCCCGGCTTTCGTGGTGAGGGTTACCTAATCGCGGTACACGCTAACCGCTGGTTGCCTCTCCCTCTGCCCACCCCTGTTTCTCTCCGCAAAAACGATTCTGGCTTCTCAGAATGGTTTTTGAAAAACGACACAAGTTTCTGGTTGCCAGAATCGTTTTTCAAAAAACGACACTGGTTTCTGGTTGCCAGAATATTTTTTCAAAAAACGACACTAGTTTCTGGATCCCAGAATCGTTTTTCAAAAAACGACACTGGTTTCTGGTTGCCAGAATCGTTTTTCGAAAAACGACACTAGTTTCTGGTTGCCAGAATCGTTTTTGAAAAACGAAACTGGAAACTTGAAACTAGACACTAACTTCAGCGCTCTCTTTTTTGTGGTGTTATTAATACCATATTTCTTAGTCATTAGTGGTATGGGGAGAATGTGATTACATGACGGTTATTATATAAGGTTTAGCACTCGAAACATTAATATGTATGGACAACTAAAAGATTGGATTATTGAGATTAAAGCATACGTGATGGGCATGCATGTAAACGTTATTGTTTTGTTCGATTTCTCTATTATATTCCATGCATTTATTGTGGCTCCGTATTCCACAATCTAGCCCAAACTCCACGCGATCTCATTTTTTGTTGTCGCTCAGCTTGGGCAGCCAATTCCTGTTGATGTTGAAACTTCAGCTCCCACACTTCCTTTTGATGTTCCATCTCTCGCCTTGACATTTCACGCTGTTCTTCAAGCTTTCTATTGAAATCCTGCATCATTTCCAATTTTTCCTCTTGTCCAGCTTTCTTGAGATCCTCCATTTTTTTCACAAAATTTGACATATCCCCTTCCTGACTTCTTTGCACCTAAAATTGTCACAATCGAAATATTAAATGCGTTTTTTTTTCCTTTTAATGTTTAAAAATGAATTTGGTACAATTCACCACTAAATGTTAACCATACTGTGCATTTTAGGGTAGCTCACAATCACTTCAATCATCTAGTTTTTATCACACATTGCGTTAGATTTTACACCAGCTTTTGCTGGACCTTTGCAAACAAGAAGTCTTGCATCAGTTTAAAATATGTTATCAAAATCTGCCGCACCTCCTTGTTCTCCATATTATTACCTTTGTCAATAACTACACCAATTTTTGTAAATTTATCCGCAGAGGTCACAAATTCGTAAATAGCTGACAAGAGCTCTTAGCAAACGACAAGCAACAGCATTCAAAGTATTGCGCTTAACTTACAGAATGTGGCTCCTTTGACGGAAAAACTTGTAGGCTTAACAAGATGCAGGTTGAGGGGATGAGAGGAAGATTTAGGATAAAAATTGATAGCTCCAATCTCATGATGGACGCAGAAACTAGACTATCTAACTCAAAAGAATTACTATTTGCGACCGCACGCAAACATTGTGATCGACGCTATTTTTGCCGGCAAATCCTACCCCCTACATGCTCGAAGACTTGGCAATATCGATTTTAATTCCACGTTGTGTTGGATGGTATAATGGCCGGTGCATTATCGTACTGTTCCAGGCAATCTAAGCGATTTTAGGACCAAGCTGGAAAGTAATTGCATTAGTTTTTATGTTACCACTGTGCTTCTAAGGTAGGATCGTTAAATTGCCTTTTACTGACGTTTTTGATTTTTTTTTACGTGTTTATATTAATCAGAAAAATATCTAATATTCGATGTAATAATATTTTCGGAGTTTGCACTGCAAAAAGTGTTTTTGATGAGTTTTTCAACCGGCACGCGCCCCAGTCTGATTGACAACTAAGCCACGCCTCTGTTGCTTTGGGCTGTTGCCATGAGGGGGCAGAGCAAAGTTAATGAGTTATAAACCGATTACGTGTGTGGTAACAAGTCTTACATCAGCTGGGCAGTGAAGAAGTCGAGTACAAAATGGGGAAGAGAAAAGTTCGTTTGTAAGAAAAACCAATAACGAAATTAAGATCTTAATTTTGGCGCTATATATCGTCGAGCGTATCTGCGCCACATTACGAATGTTCGACGCCGTTTTAAAGACGTGTTTCGTCAGCTGTAAAAAGCAACATAGAATTCAACAATGTTGACAGAAATAAGTTTTCTTCACCGATATATGAATATATTACGCTTGAGAGACACGCGGAAAAATTGTAATGGAATGGTTAAATGAGAGAAATTCAAGCGAGGGTTGATTGCATGGTTTCAAAAACGCATTTTAGCGGGATATCGCATTTTGCAATGTTTGGAGAAATTTAATTTTAAAATCACTCATCAAGCGGAAAGATAGAGTTCAAAATGTAGGCAAAAGATGGAACTCTCAAAAAGACCAAAAGAAAAATCAAGACTAAGGCTCTATTCCCATAGATTAAGATCGATCTATCCCCGCGGGGAGTCTCACTAGATTACTTTCAGATAATCCGACTTAAATGTCCGTCCCGCCTACTACAAGCTGTAAGAGGGTAATTTACTTTCGTGTCCGCCCGGCTGACAGCTATTTAGCGTGAACCCCCAGGGAGTTAGGTCGATCTAAAGTAGGTCGATCTAAACTATGGAAATGGGGTCTAGTACACCCTTTACACTGAACGGCGTCCTTTCTACGACCATGAAATTTGGCAGCGCTGTGGTCTTAATGAGGAGGCACGAGCATTGATTTTGTATCAGATTGAATACTCAATGATCGGCCAGTTGTCGGCACATAAAGTATTATAATTTTTCAACTCTCAAATAGGGCCGTACTGCTGGACGCAGAAAGGACGCCGTCCAGTGTAAAGGGGGCTTACCAAGTAATTAGTGTGTGTTGTCTAAAATTGCAAATCTGTTACTTGCATTATATCTTTCATATACAATTACCAAGAGCCCTGAAAACAATTATGCAGTGTTACCTGTCACAAAGTCGCATTTACACGAGTCACGGCCATTTACTATATATATATATATATATATATATATATATATATATATATATATATATACACACTGTAGGCTTGAATTGTTGGCAGCATTGTTAGCTGCAAAACTGCTGTCCTTTGTGAGAGACAGTTTACAATTTTCAGCTAGTATCCCTTACACTTGCTGGACTGATTCCACCATAGTTTTATCTTGGATAAAAAGTGATCCAAGAAAGTGGAAAAATTTTGTTTCAAACAGAATATCTGAAATTCAGAGTTTGACTGACCCATCTCAGTGGTTGCGCTGTCCAGGTAATCGCAATCCTGCAGACTTACTGAGCAGAGATGTCTCAGGTCCAGAGCTTTGTGTATCTGAAACCTGGTTACATGGACCAGTTTTCCTCCGTGAAATTACACCAATGATTTCTAGCCTGGAAACTGTGTCAAAATCAGATGTGAATGAAGGGGTGGTTATTTCTGAAATGAAATCAAATCCTGTATTGCTCTAGTTGAAAACTCCTAATGCTGGTTTTCAGTTTGAAAAGTGGAGTACATTTACAAAGACCCTCCAGATTATGGCTTGGGTTTTGAGATTGATTGGCAATTTGAAAGCCAGTAAAGAATCTCGTTGTACTGGAGGGAGCTTAAGGAATCATCAAATGTCAACGGTTAGATACTGCAGCTAGCAGTCAGCCGGAACCCCCACTTCCTAGTATGAGAGAGAACAATGTGCCACCTTTTTCTGTTTCAGGTGTGGACCATGGTGGTCCACTCTTTTGTTGTGATACTGCAAAATCATTACAGGAAATCACGACAAAAAGGTGCTACACAGCCACTTTAATAGCATAATGTCACATAATTACATTGTGATAGTGCAATTAACTGTGTTCCTTATTGGTAGACTGCTTATTTTACTTTTGGAGGCCATTTTGGAATTCTATACACCTGTAGAAGCGGATATTGATAATTCATTCATAGCACGATATTTTCCAGCTAAAAATGATATTTCTAACTATTATAGGACTATTAGAGCTTTTAATTTAAAAGAGTATTTGTGGCGGCCATATTGGATTTGGCGGCCATATTGGAATTTTCAGACATGCCCATATATCAAAAATGGCTTAAAATTCCAACTACAGCTGTGCCAAATTTCATACTTGTAGGTAAAAATGCACAATTCACCTTTTTTTCTGCACCAAATTTTGGACTAAAAGAACATATTTTTCAGAAAGTAATGTTTTTTACAGAGTAAATTATAGTGAATAAGAAACATAGCAAGTTTTATGTCTATACATACAAAAAAGAAAAACAGAAAATAAATAATAATTTTTTCAGACAACGGTGCCATTAATTACAAGGTTTTTTTTTTTTTTTTTTTTTTTTTATCCCCTGTACTTTAAGATATAGAAACCAGATATGGAGATAGTGAGATTTTATTGCCCGAGCCAGACTACAGACTTACCAATCTTAAAGGTTGAATTAAGTGTGGGCAGGGCGAGGGGAGTTATATATCTTCTTAACCGACCAAGCTAGATAATCACGAAAAGCCTTCGAACAATTACATTAGATGTACAATTAACGTTGAATATTTTTGTTTTGCCTTGGATTGGCTCCATGACCCAAAAGCAACAGTAAAAATTCTTCATCTTTGGGTATTCGCCATATATGTAAACCTGCGCCGTCAATCAAATCCACACATGGTCAGTTGTCATACTGTAGAAATTTGTGTGTTTATTGATAGTCTCGGTTTATATTTAACCTACAGTTTTTAAAAGTCATACTGTACAGAAACGTGCCCTTGGCTGTCTCTTTTGGTCTCTGAATTACTTTCTTTGGTATATAGTTTTAATTCGGAAACATGCTAGTTTTTATTCGGGAATCGTTCGGTGGGGTGGGGTGTGGGTTATTAAAAACCAATTTTTATTGGTTTAAACGGCCATGTGAAGTATCCGCGAGATCGACGGGTAAGGTGATACTTCTCGGGATGAAAGAGCAGCCAACAGTTATTAAAAGTGATATGAAACACAAATAAAAACGTCATGTAAAACTTGAGCGTCGGTAACGTGACTCAAGCGTTCACTTTCTTAAGAAATGATTCCCCGGAGTGCAGTTGAGATAAGTTAATTTACGCTCTCATCTTTCATATTAAAGAAATGAGTATTATTACAAGAGGTCAGGGTGGGGGGGGGAGCATAAGAGATTAGCTAATTATAAGTAAGATACTAGGGAAGAGGGGGTCTGTGTGAAATAGAGGCATTACTTGGCCACGGCTTCTAGGGTAAAGGTTAAGTGGTCGGGGTAGACGTAAGACGCTAATCGCCGGCCATCTCTCTTCCGCCCAATCCCGTTCTGAGCCCTTGGATCGTTTTCTAAAAACGGCATAATTAGTTTCTGGCAGCCAGAACCACTTTCGAAAAATGACACTAGTGATTACGATGCTGTTTTGCGTTCCTGGCCAACAGAACACATGGTTACCTAGCACCTTAGGCCATATACACACAGTCGTGATGGTTGTAAGTACATGTATTCTTTGGGTCTCATTTATCGGCACTCACCATTTATAGACTATACGCTGATCCTGAAAAGAGGCTTACAAAGTAACTTTTACTTCCTCAGCAATCTATGCTCGGTTTGACACAGGGTTATGATAGACCAATATATGGCGGTTTATTTCAGGGTGGTCGTCCTATAAAACCAATGGGCCGTGACATTAATAGAGGGCGCTAAAGTCAACGAAAGGTGGGAAAAATGGTCATTTCAGCCTTGTTGTCAATATTTGGTTGGTAATTACGCAATTTTACAAGTGACTTGAATTCCCAAAATCTCTGAATCAACCAACAATATTACTTTCAAAAAGATAACTGATTTTGAAGGTCAAAAAACAAATAATCTTTTCAAAATCTTAATTGAAACATAGTCTACTTTTCTGTACTATTGCGGCAAATTTACTATGTTGGTGGTCTTTGGGCGATCAAATGTTTTTATACATTGCACTGAGAGTAATACAATTTTCCATGTCCATTAAAAGTTATATTTCTATCTGTCTTATGAAGTTACACTTATATGACTTTAATATATGTGGCAATGCTGCACTTCAAACATTGCAAATAACAATTCTGGAACATCAAACCACACTTTTTTCTTTAACAAAAACTAGCTTAAAATATATTTATTTCACACGTAAAGGCGTCGAGGTTCAGGCTAAATGATAAACTGCATATTTATAATAACCAAATTTGCCATTTCTATCAAGACGTATTTCTCATATTAGGTCATACTGGTGAAACTAATAAATGTCATTATGCTAGCTGCATGGCAAAATTTTAACACATGGGTTAAAAGCAGGTATTGTAGTTTTTTAAGAATTTTTTTGATTTATGCAGTGCGTAACTGTTTAATGAAACCATTAAAAACACACATTTATCATTTAAGTCATGACTACAATATATCTGCCGCGGTACTCTCTCACCACAGGGTCCACTGGTGATCTGCTACATATTATTATTGTATTCCTCAATTTTGTATACTATTTTAGAGGCCCCTGTGATACCAGAGGGTATATTGCGCATAACAGCTTTACTCATATGTTGTGCCATTGAAAATATAGGGCGTGTCACTGCTTCATCAGACGGTGTTTTACGAGATTTTTTTCGGCAACAAGAATAGATAAAGGGGCAGTCTTATGTCTTCTAGAAGAAGTTCAAAATTTTTAAAGTTTACATTGACGGGCATATATATTTTTCTGTCGGAAGATGGTCAAAAATGGAAGCTGGATTTGTATGCATATTTTCACATCCATTTTATTAGCTGCATGCATAGTACTGACTTTCTCGTAATAGGGTTTCAAAGCCCTATTGATGCCATATTTAAATAAAAATTTACCGAAGCAGACGAGAATGGGGTGCGGGGCCTGCTTGAGAATACAAAATAATGTCTGTCATGTATGTTTTATACTTCCAGTAGGGTTGTCAGTCTTACAACGAACTAACGTTTACACAAGGATTATGCAAAATGCCAAGTCGAAATCTTTCTCTGAATCTAAGGGCGTATTCCCAGAGCTTTTAGATCGATCTATCCCCGCGGGGAGTCTCACTAGATTACTGTCAGATAATCCGGCTTAAATGTCCGTCCCGCCTACTACAAGCTGTAAGGGGGTAATTAACTTTCGTGCCCGCTCGACTGACAGCTATTTAGCGTGAACACCCAGGGAGTTAGGTCGATCTAAAGAAGGTCGATCTAATCTCTGGGAATGGGGTCTAATTCAAGAGCAATGTCAAAAATAGCCACTTACAGACACTTAATTTCCATTTCCATTTTCAATGTGCTTTTCTACACTTTTCTGTGCATAGCATGATATTGACTCCTTCATTTCGTAGTTAGCCTGAGCAAAAGTTAGATATCTGTTCTACAAATATCTGTAACACAAATAATAGACACGCTATTTTATGCCCCAGATTTATCAAGAATGATTTTAGACCTGTTCATTGCACTAATAAGCAGAAAAAGTATAGTGTAAGCCTCTATGCTAATTAACATTTTGACTTTTGCACAATGACAAATCGATAGATTCAATTTAGTATCTTGAAGTACATATTGCGGCAGATATAGGCTGTATTCCCAGAGCTTTTAGATCGATCTATCCCCGCGGGGAGTCTCACTAGATTACTGTCAGATAATCCGGCTTTAATGTCCGTCCCGCCTACTACAAGCTGTAAGGGGGTAATTAACTTTCGTGTCCGCTCGGCTGACAGGTATTTAGCGTGAACCCCCAGGGAGTTAGGTCGATCTAAAGTAGGTCGATCTAATCTATGGAAATGGGGTCATAGACGCTGTAGTCTCAGGGGTCTGATCGACGGTGGGTGAGGTAGAGGCATGTATGAGATTTCTTTCACTGTTGTAAGATTAGATCCCCTGCCTGATTCAAAATTCCGGCCTTGTAACAAGACGTTACGGTGTACTAACGTCTCAAAACATACAGTGCCATGTGTTGATTGATATATTTCCTTTTTTTTTTTTTTTTTTTTTTTTTTTTTTTTTGATGAGGGCTTTAAAAATTAAATATATCATTTTTGGGTATAATTATTCAGGTATACAAATGAATATATCACAGAAGTAATAAGCCGTTTAGGGTTCTGGCAATCCGTTAGAACGTTAAGGTTTTTTTCTATGAATTAAATCTGAACTATTTTGTTTCATGCTTGTACAAGTTACCGCACCTAATATACTATACGTATTGATGTTGATAATATTTCAATTACCTGTTTTAAAAACCAATTTATCAATAGTAAATGCATGTGTAATGGGTATCATATAGGCCTGTATTAGCGGATAGATGAGCGTCGCACAAGATGACAAATAGATACATGAATTTCTTTATTTTGCATTTTCATATCTCTACAAATATGTAATCATCATTTAGCCTGCAGTTCGGAGACTTAATGTGTGAAATAAATGCATTCTAAGCTAGCTTTTGTAACTGAAAAAAGCGTTGCTTGATGGTCCAGAATTTTTATTTACTATATTTGATGGGCAGCATTACGGCGTATATTGAAGTAATACAAGTGTAACTTCATTAGACAGATAGAAATATAACTTTTAATGGACAGGGAAAATTGTATTACTCTCAGTGCAATATATAAAAACATTTGATCGCCCAAAGACCACCAACATAGTAAATTTGCCGCAATAGTACAGAAAAGTAGACTATGTTTCAATTAAGATTTTGAAAAGATTGTTTGTTCTTTAACCTTTAAAATCAGTTATATTATTGAAAGAAATATTGTTGATTGATTCAGAGATTTTGGGGATTCAAGTCACTTGTGAAATTAAGTAATTGCCAATCAAATATTGACAACAAAGCTAAAATGTCCATTTTTCGCACCTTACTCTGACTTTATCATTGTCACGACCCATTGGTTTTATAGGACGACCACCCTGAAATAAACCGTCATACATTTGCCCATCATAATCCAGTGTCAAACCGAGTATAGATAGCCGAGGAAATAAAAACTGTTTTTCAGGCCCGTAGCGTCTAGCCTTTTATATCAAATACTGACTGACACAGAGATCGTGGGGAAAGATAACATAGGACCTAATGAAAACTTCCGGTCAAAAATAACACAATTTCATAAAATTGGAAAATCTGGAATTTCTGTGCACCTCCCATTTCGACCAAAGCGACCTTAATAAATTTATTATGTACGAAATTCATGGTACATTACCGTTACTGCATTAATAGAAGGACGTCCATGCGGCGGGGATGATAATTACAAAGAAAATCCTTAAAACCAGCGATAACAGTGTTATTTGCGTGCGGTCGAAAAAGTCGGGTAAGGAAGTTCAAGCTATCAGTTGGCTACCAATACCCAGCGTAACCCAAAATGAATTTGTATGATGCATTGACAGCTTTAATTTAACTAGGTCCAACTGAGCTATCTGTAAACTTCTGTAGGCGTGAATATGTGGAAAATGCCATTTGTATTTGGTATCGATATTTTAATTGACAAATCCCCTTATCCTATATACCAGTTTTCAGTAACCCAATAACATATAACACCTAGAACATTGCTTTGATTATATTTGAACATTGCTTTCACTATATGTGTATTATTCTGCGCTTTTAAACAAACATCCCTGTATTTCAGCGCATATGCCCTTAAGCTAATAAGTTGACATTTTAGGATAGTACTGGTGACTAGAACACTTTTTTCAAGCTTCCTAACCTTTTCAATATTTTCCTGGTATCTTTCCTTTACTTTTTCCATTGCATTTGCCTGTTCCTTCATTTCCCTCGCATGTTCCTCTTGTGCTTCTTGAAGTTTGCGTTGATTTTCCTTTTCTTTCAATTCCAAGATGTCTCGCTGTCTCTTTGCTTCAACCTCTTCCATTTTTAACCTACTCATTTCCTGTAAGACAACGGGACTGGCAAATAACTGATAAATAAAGGTTTGCTTTGAATAATTTATATTTTGCTTTACATAACTTATAGTGTATACAGAATTTCTTAAATTTCATTAAATAGAATCGACCTGGCGCTTTTGTACAACGATCAGGTCTCTACTCATCGCTACTATATATAAAGTCTTTTCAAAACCACAAAAAACTAGGGTAAGCTTCCATAAAACCAATGCTACCCAATGCCCGTGGCCTTCTAGGAGTTACATACTTTGCACATTTCGAAGAATCCAGTCATATCGGATGACTCCAGCTTCTCACGCAGCACATCTAGCTTCATGGGCCCTATAGCTTGCTGTAGGTAAGTCTCCTCAAGCTTGTCTACGTCTGCTTTTAGGTTTTTCTCTGTGTAGCCTGCTGGCATTGGGTCCAGGCGTTTTCTCAATTCATCCAGGAGTCTCTTGAACACCTTCTCACAGTAAAGACGAGACCTTTCACTGTTCTCCTTCAGGTAATTTTGCAGTTCCCCACCAGTGATATCTCCGTTTGTTTGCCTCTGAACTATGGAAAAGAAAAAAACAGTGGACTTTTTCCAAAGGCATTTACTTAAATAGACCAAGTGTTGACAGCAATAATTGCCAAAGCATTATAGTTAGTAAAGTTTGTAGCAGCTGTCAAAGTACATAACTTGACATTTAATATAGAATATTTCAGTTTCGAGGGAATACCTAGTTAAAAATGCGTTCTTTTTTCAGAAAACTCATATCTCATATAATATTTGTAATGGAGAAATGTTTAGTCAGGTGTGTCGCTACCAATTAACTAAATACCATGCCTGTGATAATATGCAGTGATTTTATTGGATAGTGCTCCTTTGGGCTGATCAGCGCTTGGCTTTGGCAATTAATGCATGGTTATGTCAAGAAAATATCCATATGTCGGCAACTACTGTATAGAAGAATTTAAAATTCTGCATGCAAGCGATCGGTTTATCAGGGCGTAAATGAGTTCAGCAGTGCTTTACAAATTTGTTAATCTGTGGCAGAATGGTGCTAAAAAAGACAGACATTGCCAGACAGATAAGTGCGCTAACGAAATGGTCCACACAGTTTTATAGAGTAATGCCCAGACTTATCTACCTACACAGGGGCCACACCCAATGTATCGATATCTCAACACCAGAGTACAGGACCCGTCTTTCGGGATATGCTGCTGCGACTTAACAAAAACCACCTAGTCCGTTCAGAATGAGTGTTAAATTGCCATTAAAATGCGTTCTTCAAGGGCCTTAACGAACACCAAGCTTGTTTTAACAGGTTAGAATACCAGACGACCTCCGAGAAACCCACTGTAAAAAGAAAAACATCGTCATTTGTGTCTCTAATGAATAAGCGACCATGGCTGCATGGCTGTTTCTGGGTAGAACACTGAAGCCGCGTGGCTTTCTTTATTGAGGTCATCTTTCATCTGTACCGCTCAACTATTCAAAACGGAGTTTACAGACATCCAGAAGAGAACTCCGACTAAGCGTGTGCCGCGTCCAAAGTGACTAGGGTGATTCACAAAGTCAGTATTTGGTTACACCATTGGTAGTCATCGATGAAAACCTGAACCAGACCAAATAAAGGAACAATCTGGGAATCACTTGACTAGCATTTGATAGGGGGCACCTTAGGAACAATTTTAGGTTGCACGGTGAGATTGCCGGTTCACAGAGAACACTTGTAACAGCTTACAGATTACTTACAGAACCAAGGAAATGAGCAGCTACCTTGGTCATCAAAATCGCCACTTTTGAACCACACAGACAATATGCAGTTAGGCCATTAGTCGCCGAACTAACGGCTTACATGTCCTACAACAAACCTGGATCAAATTAGACACGTTTTGACTGATGCCTGGAATGTTATTCCAGATTGAACTCTAAAAACCTTTTCCAAGGAATGTTTTGCCGCTTGAGAGGGCCGGTAACAGCCAGAAGAAGTCAGGCATAGCATCGACCGTTGCTGTGACTAGACACTGACATAAGGGTCCTTTGTGGGTGGTGTTACTCTTTTACAGATTATAATTTAGAAAATATGGAGGTTCAAAGTACATGTATCTCTTTTATTGGTCGCCGTATGCAATAAAATAGGCAATGTGATTTTGTTTGCTTTATTGGCGAATTCAACTAATGGACTGATGTCACAATGACATCAAAGAGATAATTTAAAGTTATTACAACACAAGTTAAAGCCTTATTCTCATTTATCAATCAGCAAAAAACTGATGAAAAACGATCTGGAAAAATATCCCATATTAAATGTTAAGTCTGTATATAAATATGTAGCAAAAACGAAATTATATTTCAACTTACCGCGTCTAATTGGTATATCCCCTCGTAAAAAAAAGGCCAACCTTATTACAGAGCGTAATGTGATTGTACTACCAATGAGTAAGCTAGTTATCGTAACAAATCAATATAGCATTTTGTCTCTGGGTTGGAGGACGCACCTGATGCGTCTGTGCTTGATGCCAAAAAGTTACGTTTGCAGAGTCATCCACATACGGTGCGAGTTTGCAGTTATCCATTTCAGAGGATATCCTTCACATTCTTATTCAGGTTGTGAGCTATACGTAGAGCTTGTCATTGCGGTGTTGGATCTGATTCGCATATAACTACCAACTTTTGATCATAGTTCCTCATTTAGTCCATGAGCCAGACACTTTTTCGGTACCAAAAAAGGGCCAAATTCTCATAGTGATTTTTAGTAAGGTCTACATGTATGTCTGTAGTGTTCAAATATGTGCGATAGCCTTCTCATACTGGTAGCTTTTTGTGTGCTATCACACCTTATATAACCCCACCCCTGCAGCAGCAAGGACTTTTTTCCAGATGGGGGTAGGGGAGAGAAAATGCTTACTATATCTATATGGTAACAGGTATATCAATAAATTGTATATCCTTATGGAGGCAAGGAATGAGACAATTTATTTCAAAAGTGATGAATGCATGACAATTAGTCAAGGGTCATTGATAATGGGTCAAAGGTCACAGGAGGTCATTTTTGGGAATTTTCATAAATTAAACACAAAAGTTTTTTTCAAATCATTGTTTAAGTAAGAATTTGGTATTTGGTGAAAGATTTGTAAAGATGGTATAGTCTTATGCTTGTGAGCAAAGTTTGGAGCCTCAGCTGTCTTATTTTAGAAAATTATGTAAAGGAATGTGAACATAACGGCCAAAATATGCCATCTTTGAAAGTGGGGGTAGGGGAAATAAAATCCTTGCTACATCAATATGATCAAAGATATATCAATGCATTATATATCTTTATGGAGGTAAGGGATGGGACAACTAATTTCATTAATCATTAATGCATGACATTTAGTCAAGGGTTATTGATAATGGGTTAAAGGTCACAAGAGATCATATTTTATGAATTTTTTATAAATTAAAACTAAAATATTTTTAAAAATATTGTTTGAGAAAGAAATGGGTATTTTGTGAATTATATGCAGACATGACATAGTTAAACACTCATGGAAAAAAATTGGAGCCTCTACTGTTTTATTTTAAAAAATTATGTAACTAGTTAAATGTGAACCTAACGGCCAAAATATGCCATCTTTGAAAGTGGGGGAAGGGGAAAGAAAATCCTTGCAACATCAATATGGTGAAAGATATAACAATGCATTTAATATCCTTATGGAGGAAAGGGATGGGACAATTAATTTCATAAACCATTTATGCATGACAATAATTCTAGGGTCATAGATAATGGGTCAAAGGTCACAAATGGTCAAATTTAATGGATTTTTCATAAATCAAAACCAAATTCTTAAAAAAAATAGTGTTTGAAAAAGAAATTGGTATTTGGTAAATAATTTATTTACATGGTATAGCATCATACTTGTGTAAAAAATTTGGGGCCTCATCTGTTATATTTTAGATAATTATGTAACTAGTAAGTGTAGCCTAACAGTCAAAATTTGTCAACTTTGAAAGTGGGGGTAGGGGAGAGAAAGTGCTCATCATTTGAAGGCAGTAGAAGATACAGCAACAAAATGCACATATTTATGCAGCTTTGGGAAAGGACATGTCAAATTTTGATTAACACATGTAAACAAAGTCATGCTTCATTAAAAATAGGTCAAAAGTGTCAGTTGAGGCCAAACTTCAGCAACAATTTAAGCTTTTTCATAGATATGAACTTAAATACCATTAAAAGAGAACACTTTCGATTATAGAAATACTTTTGGGGTATAACTAGATGTTTTGTGACTATTAAAGACCAGTTCATCGAGTCTGAGGCCACTTATTTAATTTTTTTTTATTTGCATAAGTAGTAAGAAATGGACGCCAGGTTTACCATCGGCGTGTGGATTGACGTGTGGATTGTTTGTTTGTTTGTTTGTCTGTCTGTTTGTTTGTTTATCTGTCTGTCTGTCTGTCTCTTCGTTTGTTTGTCTGTCTGTCTATCTGTCTGTTTGTCTGTCTGCCTGTCTGTCTGTTTTTTTTTTTTTTTTTTTTTTTTTTT